GGCGAAACTCCTAGGAATATCGCCCCCAGGGGGGGCGAAAATCCTAGGAATTTCGCCCCCTTTAGGAAATTCGCCCCCCTTTAGAAACTTCACCTTTTCTTTAGGATTTTTGTCCTCCGTTCAAAATTTCACCCTTCCTAACAGTTGCATGGGATAATTATTACATGGCTTTAATCATTTGAAATCAGTATCAATTCAAAATTGTTAAGACAGAGCTTGAAATAACAACCAATCACCGATCAATGATCGGCAAGGAATTGCTTATGATCGGCGGAAAAGCAGGGTTTCGGTTTCCAACCTGAAAAAAGCAGGGAAAGTCGCGACTGCCGATCACCATGATCGGGAACTTTGGGAACGTTATTTCAAGCCCTGCATGTAAGAATACAAATTTACAGTTACATGTATCGAAAGGGCTTTACACAGTTACAGTAGATGAATACTCAATAGGACTTATGAGGTTGCGTTTTTTTTTATACACCCTGTACAATGCAATTTTCTTTGCGGAAGTGAAAAATCAAGATTACATCACTGACACAGAAAGTTGACGATTCAACGGACAATAGTCAATACGCTTCCCAACACATTCCATGGATTTTTTACTAATCCTATAGTTTATTGTTAGCAAGTGATTACTGTGGCGGCTATTGTTAACACTCGTATTGATAAAATTTGCAAGCGATTGTTTTTATAATATGTTATGTGAATGTAAACTGCCAGAAGAATACGACAACATGATTTTATGCGATCTCTGTGGGCAATGGTTCCACTTTAGATGTGTAGAATATGACACATTGACACTAGTCTAAGTACCTCAAATGAGTGGTTATGCAGACTGTGCAAACCACCAGCTGCTAAGAAGCTTAAAATGTGTATGTGATTTTGTCTCCTTGTAATAAATAAATAAATCACACAATACATCTTTTCAACTTGCAATCGTCTTGTTTTTAGATAAAAAATTCAAAATTTATATGGGGGGGCGAAATTCCTGAAGGGGGGCGATATTCCTAGGAGATTCGCCCGGGGGGGGGGCGAATATCCTAGGAATATCGCCCCCCTTTTGAGAGGGGGGCGAAACGTCAAAATACTGACAATTCGAGTCAATCATAATTACAAGTTTCGCGCGAAGCTATTCAGTGGTCATAGCATGTTCCCCTATATCTCGGTCGCTTTTTAATATTTTCTTAAAAAAGTTGCTGGAATTGATAGATATATCATTACTTAATATAATTATATAAAAAAATTTTTTGGACAAAATCAGAGTCTCATCATATATTGTAATATTGCAATTACGTTCCATCCAGAAACGACGGAACAGGCCTAGGAACTTATGATAAACAATCAACGAATTCAAGGTGTTAAATCGACTACATGTCTTGAACTTATGTCGAAATGCTTACTTGGGATAGTCATATCGAAATGATATGTAACAAAGTTGGGGAAGGTACTGTATAGAATACAAAACAAGTGAAACTCCAAAAATCGATAACATTTTTATTTATCTACGTTTCGACTATATTTCAGTCATCATCAGGATAAACACAAATGTGTTTTATGTTTCACTTGTTTTGTATTTTATTAAAATACTCAGTGGTTCTAAACTTTTTTGGTGTACTGTATAGGTATCCTAACATGAATTACTGTAAGGAAATCTCCCGAGGCACCGATCCTTTGTGTCCAACTTTGCAAACATTTTTTTTCCAAATTAATCACTTTGAAGACATGTACATAAACATTAACACATTATGCATGTATGAATTGGGGAATTAAATAGTGGATCAGTCCGTGGTTTTTTTATGACCATCAATCGACTGAAGTTAAAAAAGATCGCGACCAACCATTCAGACACTTTTTAATTAGAAAATTATTTTAATATTATATATCCGTTATTTTCTACTTGTATTGCCTGCGTAAAATTACAATCTTAATCAATATATTATCAATAAAAAATCATCCTTATATTCACGTTCAGCTTTCACATTCAGTGAACGATTTCTGGTTGATGTTGATTGGCTTTGTTTACTTTTCCCAACACTGGTTTGACATTTGGATCCAAGGAGCCACAATGTCGTGCTCCAAGACAAACAGGTGAAGACGCAGCACAGCAATAGGCTTGAGACGTTCCGGGGAAACAGCATACTGGATATTTCACTAAACAACAAGAGTTGGTATTCCCACAGCATACAGGATATTGTTTCGGACAACAACTATTGCTGGATAAGCAACATACAGCACCATTCAACGGACAACACCAATACGCCTGATTACGTATGGATTGGGAAACTAAGTCAAATGAATAAAATTGATTAGTTCAGGAGACTGTGATACCAGTATAGTTTGTTAATATTTAACCTCGTTTTATACTGTACTGTTGGTTGGCCATCACGATGCATGGCTATTATAGGAAAAGGTTCTGTACATGTGACTGACTGATGATAATCACGAAACACGATAAACTATAAATTTTCCAAAGCCAGTCACAAATGTTTTGTTCAAACTTGTTCATTTTAGCTTCGTATGTGGGGGGAAAACTGGTGAAGGACTGCTGAAGGCTAACATTCTGTATCGTGAGACGTCTATTTGAACTTACTATTGTTCGTCATTTGATATTTTCGTCCATATAGTGCATGCTGGTTGAATGAAAGTTAGAAACATTCTCGTACAAGTATAGTTATTTAACCAGGCATTAGATAATCAATGTGCAAATGGTTTAAATCTGAGTCATGTTGACATTTATATGCCACTTTTTACCTACCTGAATATCGACAACAAGTATTGTTAGCGGCACAACAGTATTGTCCAGCCGGATCACAAGCTTTTGGTGTTGGTGGAGAACACCCAAGGTTATCTGCAACGTCACTACAACCGTTCATGATTCTTTCTGCTAAAGGACTACAATGATCTGTCACGGTGCACCAATTTTGCATGAGAAGCGCTGTACCGAGTTTCTGCCACTGACCATTGTTGATGTGAGATAACGCATCGGGAACACGTTTAATGAAATCGATTCCAAACGTGAAGGTGAGTGCTGTAAGTGAGTTCTGAATATCGCAACACGGCATCGGGCTTGAAATTGAACGGATTAAGCTTAAAATCTGCTTCTGAGCGCGATCGACATTGATTTGAAAAAGACGCTCGCTCTGTTCGGGAGTAAGGCAGAAGCTTTGCGTGCAATGACACTCGCCTGGTCCTTGCATGATAACTCCTTTTCGTATATCAATAGGATCAATTCCTAGTACGGCAAAGTCGCCATTGGCATGAGGTAAGTTAATGTTGTAGCCATGACCAATACGAACACCAAGTCCTTCACGACGAGCGCAAGGTGAATGCGTTTGCCATGTCTTGATCACTGCTTTTGGGTTACAATCTTCAGCCCCAGTGGCAGAACCCAGAAACACCACGAATAATGCAAACGAAGCGAACATTTTCACTTCGATATTTATGCTGCGATTTAAGATATGTCTGAGCAGACTCTGATTATATATCTGTGAGTCTGCAACACAATACTTTGTTTGCGCACAAACATACATCCGGCTTTTCATCACGAGACTTCATCACCAGTGACTGGGACTGCACGCAGGCTACATAATTGCATGGTAACAGTGATGAACGATGACTTTTTATCCCTTATTCGTACCCAGACGTCTCTGTCAGTTTCGAGAGGAAAATGCAGCGAGAGAAAAAAATGCGTCGCGCACCATGGAAATGAACACAGCTGGAACTAAATAGTAATTTTTCTTCCTTCAGATAAATTGACCCCCAGACACGCGTGTCTGGGGGTCACTGACCCGCGTGTTTATATCTCGCGATATAAACTGACTGATCATGACGTGATTCAGATTGAGCGCTCCTCGCATGCGTGAAAAGACTGGGATTGGTCTTCAAGTTTGGCTTCAATTTTTCTCTCGCCGCTGCCCTTCCTTCAGCCACAGTTAATAGACTAAGAAATAATAATAGTCTTAGTCTATTAATTAACTGTGGTCCAGCCGATATACTGTAAGAGACCGGAGGCATGCAGCCCCAGAGAGGCAGCCGTAATTACTAATACTCCCAAATAATATAGCAGCTGCAGTTTGTCCATTTTCACATTTCCATCTTATGACACTTCAATTTTGAGCAATTACGTCACTGGTCCTTGAGATTGCAGCATAAACAAGAAAATGCATCTGATTCAATTAAAAAATCTTTTAATTCATGAATTGAGTCAGTTTTCTTTGATGTACCGAGGTGATTATTTTTAATAATCTCTTTGAATAGTAATTAGCTGAAAAGATGAAGGACTGTTGATAGTTATAGATAGCTAGTTTTTCGTCGCTTGGAGTAAGAATAACGTCTGCGAGCAGGCTATTCATCTATGTGATTACTTTTAAACACAACTCTGCGTTCATTTGCCCTCTTTGAAACTTTTTGCCAAGGGATTCCGAGAAAAATGTACGTGAAAAAATCATCTCATTGGGCTGACTTACAATAGTAGAAAAATGATCTCATAAGTCGGTTAAAGGGTATTGGCAACAAACAATTGTATTGCTTCATCTGAAAGAGCATGGAAATATAAGCCTATTCTATCTCATCTAGTTTCGAAGTTACACGCAAAAATGTGCAAAATATAAGTTGCTGATTCAGCACAACGTGTGACGTCATTGGTTGGGTAAGTATGTTTAATGAATACTAAACTGAAGCATAGCTCAGTTATTATGGACCCAAATCAAATGAAATTTTGCATACTGATTGTACATGATGAGACGCATTGAAAAACACTTCCAATTTTGTTGCCAAGGTAACAATGTCGTTCCCAGGCCCCTTGCGCCAATTTTATAAAACAGCTTTATTCATGGTACTGATAAGGATAAAATAATATCAGAAGTATGTGTACCATACCTATGCATGCCAAAAGTTTACTTGCATGATAATAATTCGAAAATGACATACACATAGATAAATGCAACTAGTTATTCAAAATCAGTGTAAGGGGCCTGGGAACGACTGTGTTGCCTTGACAACTAAATTAGAAGTATTTTCCCATGCGTCTCATCATGTACTATCTGTATGCAAAATTTCATTTGATTTGAGCCAATAATAACTGAGCTATGCTTCAGTTTACTATTCAATAAACATACTTACCCAACCAATGACGTCACACGTTGTGCTGAATCAGCAATTTATATTTTGCACATTTTTGCGTATAACTTCGGAACTAGATGAGATAGAATAGAGCATTAAACGGCCAATCGGCTTACTTTTTCATGCTCTTTCAGACGAAGCAATAA